CGGAATAAGTTCGTTTACCACATTCAATGCAAGGCATATATGAGGGAGAATTCCGATGTATTTGGCACCCTTTTGGGTGGAAGCACCCCCGATTACAAACTTCTCTGGTCCTGAGAATATATGGACATCGATAAAATGCCATTATGATAACTTTGAATAGTTCGATTATGTATCGATTTATATATTTCAGAATTAATTTTCATTTTGAACTTTTTTCTCCCGGAGTATATACTTTCTCTCGAACTGTATATTTGTTATATAATACCATGATCCAATCCTCACTTTCAGAGTTCTTTGACGCCCCCGCCCCATACTATTGTGGGTTTAAAGCCTCTGATATAGGTCAATGCCTATATAAAATTCGTGACGATAGTGTTAGGCCAAGGCATTTCCTCGGTGCAGATAATGAGGATGAGATAGAAGCCATTCTCTCAGAACGTGAAGGCCATTCTTTACATGAATTTATTGATGGTGATGAGCCACTCCGGCATATTATAGACTTTGATTTGCCACGAGAGGTGTATGATTCTATTGAACCTAAACTAACAGGCAAAGAGATACAAGATTTACTTGTCTGCGCTTTTGGAAAAGTGTGTAAAAATATATTTCCAGACTGGGATCATAAAACTATAACTATTGCTAGTAGTAGTAATGCAAAAAAAATGTCTCTCCATATCTCCACTTACGGCATGAGACTTAAAAATATTGCTCAAGTTGCTTTGTTTACTGAGCTCGTTCGTAAAAAAGTTCCGGCGTCTCTACAGGCAAATAGTATTATCGATAACATAGCAAATAAACGAACATTCTCCTTGCGAATGCTTGGAAGACCTAAGTTTGATGAAAAAATCAACTCTCATGTACGAGTAAAAAAAGCTATACATCCAAAAGATGGATCTATCTTCGACTTCATGATCCGCCCACCCAATGATGAATCAGAAGTCATCGAGAACAGTCCTCTCCTGGTTGTTCCAGAGATGGAAAGCATAAAATATGTTAGCATAAGTAATGAGACAACCGTAGCTGAATTCGAACTGGTTGAGACATTGCTTAAAGAAGCTAGCATTGAAGGATATAATCTCTCATATCCATCCGATAGTTTTCCTGACAAGTTTCCACTATCACGCATCTCTCCATCACACTGCCCATTATGTGATCAGGAACATACTAGTGATAATGCATATATCAGACGAAATAAAAGATCTTATAGCTTTTTCTGTTACCGTGCCAATCAAGATAAACAGCCTGGGACGAGAAATTCTTCATTAAAACTTACTATTAGCGAAACAGCTTTAGATAAAGAGAAAAAGCTTCCAACCCCTATAAAATTAGACCGACCCAGAATTTCTGACCCAAATGACCGTTTCGTATGGGGCGATCTAATAGATATGTGTGTATCTGGACGGAAATTTTCTCGTAATGAGATTTATGACGCAATTCAGGCAACAGTCGCCTGTATTCAAACAACATCAAGATTATGGGTGCTCAAAATAGAGGATATGAATGGTGGTCTTTATTTTGATATGGCACCAAAACTAGATCTTGCCAAGTATGAAGTTAACTTGATTGAGCTAGGTGGAGAGGGGGTGAAGTTAATTAATTTAATAGATCAGGCGGTTACCAAAGGTCTAATCCTTTACCACAATATTAATTTTCTACCGTACCCGCTGAATAGTCCAGTTCCTAATACAAAGTTCTTTAACCTTTTCATAGGATTTTTGGCAAAGCCAGCGGTGGAGATTAATCCCGAAATCATGGATCCTATTCTCTGGCATACAAAGAATATAATTAGTAATGAAAATGAGAAGCTCCACGAATATCTTTGGAATTGGTGGGCATATTTAGTGCAAAAGCCAGAAAAAAAGCCTCGGTCAATCTTAGTCTTAAAGTCTATACTACAGCAGTGTGGGAAAAATATTATCACCGACTTTATTGGTGATAAAGTCCTAGGGGAACATCTCCATTATGCTACATCGGATTTAGAAAAAATTCTTGGGCGTTTCAATAGTGCCATTCAAGCTCGAAAGCTTATTGTTATGAATGAAACTGGAATGTCTAGTGGGGAATGGCATAAATTTAACGGGCATCTCAAATCCCTTATAACGGAAGGAATGGTGTCTATAGAGCGTAAGGGTATTGAAACAAAGCGAATTAGAGATTTCACTGGGTTTATGGTTACAAGCAATCAGGACGCCCCACTCAAAATAGATATAGGAGATTCCTGTGTAGTCTGTTTTGACGTTTCCTCACGTTGTAGAGGCAATACAGAGTATTTTAAGCGACTAGGAAAGGTTCTTGACCACCCCGATGCACCAGGAGTAGTCATGAGATATCTTCTTAGTCGTGACCTTTCAGATTTTGAACCACAAGAAATTCCCGCAACTAAAATGAAAATAGATATAATGCGCGACCAGCTTCCTAATCCCATTCGATTTTTAATTGATCATATTTCATCTTGGGTTGAGGATAAAGTAGCCAGCCCAAGTCGTACATCATTGTATCAGAATTATCTTGAATGGTGTGGAGAAAACGGTGAAAAGATATTCCCTAACAACATTTTCGGTAAGAAGTTATTAGAGAAAAATATTATTGAATGCAAGAGAGCAAGTAGTGGAAAAAGAGAATGGCAATATATTCTCGACCGCCCCAAGATCGTAGCCAAGCTCTGTGAATCTGGCTTAGGTGATATGGAAGAATTTTCCGATATATCTCAAGACGATTTGCCCGAAAATGAGATTACAGACATACCCATATTCAATGTGCCAGAAATGGGCCTAGAGGGACCAACTATTCCCCAGAAAATAACCCCGCCTCAACCGGAAGAGAATCTCCCTCCAAGAGGTAAGAAAGCGAATAAACAGGACAATTCGACCCAAGTTCTCTTTAACTATGTGGCAGAACAAGCTGAACTCCCAGGTGCTTCAACATCTAGGACATCTGAGACTTCTAAACCACCTGAGCCAGTAATCGATAAGCCTGAAGTTAATAAGCTTTCCAAAACTAACGAACCTATAAGTAAAAACACGAATACGCCCCCTAAAGAAACAACTAGCAAGCTTCCTGATTCTTCTAAGCCTATCAATGAAGTATCGTCTGCCATACTTCTATCAAGAGCCCAGCGTGAAGAGCGTCTCAGAAAAAGGGCAGTCGAACTCGGCGAGAATCCAGATGCCTTCATGACCATCACCGAAAAAGACCGACTCAATTCCATTGCATTCCGTGATAGGATGGAAACTGATTCACGAATATGTGGTTGGGCCATAGAGACTGAAGAAGATCCCAAAGAATATATGGACATGAAAGTACGAGAAAGATTAATAGGAGAAGAAATAATCCGTCGTAGTCTTGAGGATGAGGGAGTTACATCCTCTTGGCTTGATACTGATGAGGAATGGCAAAAAAATATAAGCATACTCCAGGAGAATGGTATGCTTTGGTAAAGAGCGAATAAAAGCGGGATAATAGTATTGGTAGGGATGGAACTTTTTCCTCTTTACAACTAGGCGATATATAATTCCAAAATATTATTATTTTTGCCTATCGGAATAATTATTTATTTTTTTTGAATTGAACTTTCCCCGCATAGTATATACCAAATAATCTAGGTATAACCAAATATCTTACATATTACCAAATAATAACATGGCAGGCATCGCAACTAAATATGTAACAGAAAATGAGCTCAATAACGAGATAAGTATCGAAGAGCTCAGTCGACACGCACTGGCGTTAGACATCCTTTTGACGGATAAAACTAAGAGGGATCAGGCACGACGTCGTTTTAAGAAAGGATATAACTTTAGCGAAAAACAGGTATTTGCATTAATTCCTAAGCAGACGGCTGGTCGGAAAAAAGAAGGAGCTGTATCCAATACTCCTGATACCACTCAGGAAGTAGAACCAAAAGAGGGGACAGTGAATATGTGTCAAATTTCACCGAAAGAGACTATTAGAGATTTGGCCGAGCGTATTATCCGAGATAATATTAGCGAAAAAGAGGTAGAAGTTATAGCCAAGGCCTTATCTGGAACGGCCTCTAATGCCAGCGCTGGTCTATCACGCCTCACTAGACTTCGAAGAGAACTGAAAGCCCTCGGAGCCTCAAAAAAAATTATCTCGGCTACATTTATTCCAGACATAACTTGTTCGGCTAATAAAATTCAAAAGGAGAATAGATTGTTACGTGAGAATGAAGGGATCTATTATCCAGACCACTTCTCATTAGAATCGGTTAAGGAAAGACTGGATTCATATGTTGTGTCAAATATACCCGATAAACAAGCCCTAGCCGATGTAATGATAATGCTTTGTAT